AGAGAAGGAGACAGCTCAGAAAAAAGGAGTGGGGAAAGAGAAAGGAGGGCCCAGGGCAAGGCCAGGGCCACAGTAGCCCTCTCCTCCCAGCCACCTGCTCCCTGAAGATGTCGGGACCTGGGTCGGCGGGGAACGCCAGCCCCCAGGGACCAGACATCCAATGCAGAAGCGGAGGGAGCGCCTCTCTTTGGGCAGCCAGAAAGCTCTGGCCCCGCTCCAGACAACGGAGGGGAGCCCTGACACCTCTCTTACGACACTTTCCCTTGCCTCTGTAGTGTGGAGCAGGAGTTCCCAGCCTCACTTCTGAGAACTGCTTTCGAGTCACTCGGAGACCTATCTAATTCGCAGAGTCCCAGGCTCTCTGTGATGATTCTAATTCTGAGAGGAGACCAGGGAGTCTGCACTTCCAGAACAGTCCTCGGTAATTCTGATGAGCAGCCAAGTGTGGGAGCACAGGCGAGAGGGCACAGGCTTGTCTCTGATCTGCCCCACAATGGCTGTGTGACCTTGGGCAATTCACTAACCCTCTCTGAGTGTCAGTCTCCTTATCTGTAAAGTGGATCTAAAAATAGGGGACTGAGGGGATCACAATATTTTAGGAACTACAGGTTCCGCAAATGTTACTTTGTGATTTCCTTGTCACCAGCTTTCCCAGCTTCTCGGAGGACTGGGAAGGGAGGCGCCATGGAATCCCAGGACCCTGTCACTCACTGCCTATGCCTACACTCTGTGCAAGGCCCTTTGGGGGCTGCAGAAAGAGACTGCTTTCCCCTACAGACATTTCTCCGAGCACTGGAAACCTTCCTGGAGCCAGGAGCCCAGCTATGAGGTTCCCGCCACCAGCCTCCAGACCCTACCCGCTCGCCCTCCTAAGGACCTCACTTTGAGGCCCCAGCGTGTGGTGTGAGGCCAGCAGCAGCTCAACCAAGGCCCCATTGGGCAGGTCGCCAAAAACAACACAGAGGCGAAGGGAGGAGGTGGGGCTCTGACTCTTGGGCCCCCAGGGCCAGGGACCTCCTTAGCACCTTCCCCCGCCGTGCTCACCCTATATCCACCTCCCCAGGGCACAGCGACACCCCCACAGTAGCGCCTCCCTACACCCTGGTGTGCAAGTGGGAGCCTCTGGCTCCTGGGCCCTTCAAATCTTTCCTTCTGGCACCTACACTCACAGGTGTGGGTGGGGATGATTAGATGTCTTCAAGTAGCCTGGGGGACTCCTTCCCTGTGCACAGGGCCAAGGTGTATCTTGGGGCCAGAGCCCCAGCACTATGAGGGGACTCTCCCTCCCCCATCCCCAGTGTAGTGGCAGCAGCAGCCACCTCCTGCCCCGATGGTACAGGAACTCAAGGGGACAAGTCCAGTATCCCCCTGGGATGGCCCAGAGAGCTTGCCCTGAAGCCCAGAAGTCTACTCTCCTTGGGGTCTCACTGCAGAGGTTCCCAAGAGATGGGGCTCAGATGTGGCCCCCCAGACAAGGTGCCCCCACAACCTTGTCAGGACTAGAGACCCCAGGCTGTGGAAAAACCTTCAGAAAATTAGCTTCGGTCACACCCCACCAGGGGACACAGGCAGATAAGTCAGGGGAAAGGGGCTTTAGCAAGTGATTAGATAGCCCTGGACCTTGTTTGAAGCAACAGGACTGTTCTTAAAACTACGTTATAGACAACCCTGCTAAGCTGACACATAAGTGCAGACAGCATCTGGTTGAAATGGGGCAGGTGGGGGCCGGAGTTCTATCTGTCGGTCTTTCCCAACCCACTGCCAGAAACCTCACGGTTCCAGAGAACACATCTGAAAAACCACCTGCCAGAAGACGAGCCCATGAGAGGAGGAATTTGTTTGTTTCATTTCCTGCCATGGCCTTGTGCTTAGAACTCAGCCTGGCACACACAGGCACTCAAAAGCATTCGCATGCGTGCATCTCAACCCTTTTACTTGACAGGTGAGGAAACTGAAGCTCAGAGAAATTAAGTGATTTGCCCAAGACACACAGCAAGGAGGACTCAACTTCCCCTCTGGCTCTCCCACACAGAGGCGCTCCCTGTACACGAGAAGACAGTTCTCCCGCCCCAAGTCCCCAGATCACAGTGACCCCCACCCCAGGCCTCTCTCTGTGACTTCAGCACTCAGAGAAAGGGCTCAGTTGGACGTTCATCCCACCAAGTACTCACTTGTCTTTGCAGCCTTGACTTTAGCTACCAGTTTCTGCACACCAGTCACATCTCCATTCTTGACAGCAAGGATCAGGTCCTGTTCACGACCCATCCTGGTCCCTGGGCTGAGCTCTGGGCTCAGAAGCCCAGGAGAGGCAGGAAAACTGGTCTAAGCCAAGGTGTCAGGGCGCCATGCCTTGGCCGTTGGAGGGCCAGGCGTCCTGGGGAAGCGTGTCTGGCGTCCCCGGCAGTGAGCGTCTTGTCAGGCACTAACAGGTACTCCCTCAAGGTGCTTCGTGAGCTGCCGCCACAAGCAGGAAAGCAGATCTCTGAGGGGGTGGAGGCTGCTCAAAAATCTGGACAGATATCAGCTTGCAGCTTCCGACAGCCCCGGATGAGCTCGAACTGGGCACGCCAATCTTTCCAGCGTGGCTCAGGAGCACCGATGTCCACCCAGAGAGCAGCCAGCATTCCCTTGGGCCTCAAGCAGCAGCAGTGGACAGGTCTTAGGGGTCTGGAAATGTGCAGTGCCTCTGCTGAGAGCTGGACCAGAGCCTGTGAGGGTCCCAGAAGCAGGGCTCAGAAGAAAAGCAAGATAGGGCCTCCAGGGAGCCCCCAAATCACTCTTCTTAATCAAGGAAGGGGCTGAACCACTCAAAGAGGAGAGGGAGCCGCCATGCAAGAGGGGATTATTAGGGAGGGTGACATTCTAGGAGTGGAGGCTGAGTCACTGAGGCCCCAGGGCACCTGGCAGCACCTCAACCTGAGGCAGGCAGATCCAACAGCCTGTTCTCTACAGCCCAAGGCACTGACACCCACGGACAACTGGCGGCCAGGAGGTGGGGTCTGGAAGGGTCAGGCAGACAGGCAGTCGTACTCCCGGTAGAAGGCGCCTGCCCGCCACGCTTCTCCCTATCTAAGCCTTACTATAATAGCTGGATGCCCTAGTCCCAGGGCTCTTTGCGAATTCAGAGAGTGGTGTGGGAAGCTTACATCCCCCCAACTTCTAGCGGGGGTCTGCCTGCTGGTCAGAGAGGCTTTACAGCACCTGTTGCTGACCCATCCTCACCCCTGTGCAGGATGGGGAAGCAGCTGGGCAGAGAACAGACAAGAGCTGGGGCACTTCTGGCAAATGGGGCTGCCTGGCCCCCCAAGCCTGAACCTGAGGCCCAGAGCCCCGACCTCGCTGCAGAAAAACTTACGTCAGTTCCTCAGTGGCCACTAATTTATTGCCCGAGTCCTGTGGCATGAGACCCAGGCAGGCCTAGGGCTCTGGCTGGGGACCCCTCACTCCCCAAACGTCCCAAGCCCAACCCAGATGGCACTCCCTCTCACGGCCATCGGCCAACATTGGGGGAGGGCGCCCCTGGCAGTGCCTGGGGTCGGGCTAGCTCCCCCGCCCCCCGGAATGCCCGCCCAGCGCCGCATAACACCCCAGCCCAGCCCAGCCCAGGCCGACCTGGGGAACAAAGCGGCAGGAGGGACTGAGAGAGCCAAGCGCCGGAGGGAATGATGCGGGAGAACGGAATTAGGGGGCGCGAAGGAGGACGGAAGGAGCCAAGAGACGGAGGCGACCGCCGATCCCGCAGAAAAAGTTAGTTTGTGCCCGTTCGCAAGGGTGCTGACCCCCAGCTGCGGCCCCGCAGTCTCACCTCTTCCAGCCTCCCCACCAGGGGGTCCGGCTGGCTCTGCGCGGTCCTTGGCACTCTGGACGGTGGCTCCCACTACCCCCTTACCCCCTTTCTCCTCCTCCTCCTCCTTTTCCAAGGCCGGCTCGGCGCCTCCCGCAGGAAATCCCGCCCCTCCCCCCTCCCTCCCGCCGGATCGAGAGCAGAGGGACCGTCCCGGCCGCGCAGTCGGGCTGTCAGTCAGAGCCTGAGGCCCCGCCCCCATCAGCGCCAGGTCCCACCCCCAAAGCTCCCGGGCGGACTGTAGAAACTGGCTGATCAGCGCATGCGCCCAGGTGAAGCGGAGGGTGTGGGGGCGAGAGCGCGTGACCCTAAGTTTCTGTGGAGCCGGGGCTACCTGGGGCTCTAGAGTTTAGACCGAAAGGTTTGTGAGTGGGTGGAAGAGAAGACGTGATGTGAAGGGGTCTGGGAACTGATACCTGGGAACCCCACTTGGGAAGCCCCCCTCCTATTTGCCCCTTGCCCCTCCCGGGACTCTCACAGCGACCTCCGCCCGCGTCCAGAGTCGCCGACCACAGGCTGCTCGGAGCAATGGTGCCACCTAGCGGACAGTGTCAGAGCGGCCCACGGTGGCGGCGGCGAGGACCCCAGCCTCGAGGTGCTAATGACTGGCTGGGGTGGCGCTTCAGCACCATCGTGGGCCGGACAGCGCCTCCCCCTCCCACCCACTGGCCTTCGAAACTCGGCTTTCGAGTCCCTCGGAAGGGACCCAACGGAAGACCCTGAAGGAACTCCGAACCTCCCCAGACCTCACCTGACAGCCTCCGGGGGCCTTCAGTTTGCAAAGCTGGAATTCGGGAACCCACCACTCTCCCTTCTCTAAACCCTCTCTTCTTCCCTCCTTGTCCATCGTGATGGTGGGAACTAAACCATCCCAGGACTGCGGAGAGGAGAGTCACGCATTGATTATTCATATTATACTTTCAGACACCAATTTCCTCAAGTTTTACTAGAGAGGAGCCTAGAGGAAGGCTAGGTACAGTAGAGAGAAGTTCCTATAAATCCAGAGACCTGCAAGCTTTCGGTCCCGGGAATTGAGGCACAAGTTTGTTTTCAGGCGTTAGGACCCAGGACAGGCAGGAAGGCGGAGAGCCGGTGGGTTGATCCGGAGACGAGAAGAGCGGAGGTCGGATCGGCAGGCGCTAGGGCCGCACGGAAGTCCGGCGGTGGGCGGGGCACGGGCGGTGCGCGCGCAGGCGCAGGCTGCGGCCCGATGGACCCCGAATCAGAACCCGTTTCCGTGGAGGTTCCTGCCGGGCGCGTGCTCAGGTGCGGCGCAGTTCGGTCCCGGGCAGTCACAGGGACCATGGGGTGGGCGCGGGGAAGAGGATGGGGGGTCCGGGACTGGGTCAGGCGGCCCCTACCTACTGCGTGACTCTGACCCCGCGTCTCCTCCTTCCCCAGTGCCCGTGAACTCCTCGCCGCCCGCTCGCGGTCCCAGAAGCTGCCCCAGCGCTCGCATGGCCCCAAGGACTTTCTCCCTGACGGCTCGGCGGCCCAAGCCGAGCGGCTGCGCCTGTGCCGTGAGGAGCTCTGGCAGCTGCTGGCGGAGGAGCGCGTGGAGCGTCTGTGAGCCGAGCGGGACGGGACGGGGGCGAGGCCGGGACTGGCGGGGCGGACGGACCCGGGAGACTTGTCGGGTAGACTGAGACGGACCCGTCCCCTTTCCTCGCCAGGGGCAGTTTGGTGGCCGCTGAATGGAGACCGGAAGAAGGGTTCGTGGAGTTGAAGTCTCCTGCGGTGAGCAGCGGGGCTCAGGGACAGGGGACCCGCCTTCTTTGCCGTTCCTGACTTCTTTATGACTTTGGTCTGGGTCCCACGCAGGGTAAATTCTGGCAGACCATGGGCTTCTCAGAGCAGGGCCGGCAGCGGCTTCACCCCGAGGAGGCCTTGTATCTGCTGGAGTGTGTGAGTGGGGGCCCAGGAGAGTGGGGAGGGGGTTGGGACCGAGGAAAGCGAAGAAGATGCGGGTATTTTTTTTTTTTTGGAGAGGAAAGTATACACAACTGAGTATTCAGGCATCTTGTAACCTGACTTCTAAAGCAGAAGAAAAGAATGCTGTGTAGGGAGCAGTCCATACAAGTGTCGGGGATGCTCCCCCTTCCTGGTTGACTCCTCTCTCTTGCTGTGATGCTTATAGGGAGAGTAGCGGGAGTTGGGTTGCCACAGATATTAGAGCCTGGAAGTTGCCCCATTTACTGTGCCACAACTGCCCCGGCTTTACAGATTGAGCTGTTGGCCCTACTTCTAGGGGTCCATCCAGCTCTTCCACCAAGACCTGCCACTGTCCATCCAGGAGGCCTACCAGCTGTTGCTGACTGAGGACACTGTGACTTTCCTGCAATACCAGGTATCTGCCACCCGTCCAGAGTCAATGAGTATTTACAAGAACCTATGAGGTGCTAGGTACAGAGCCATGTGCTGGGGCTCCTAAACAGGCAAGGACTCTGCAGTCATGGCAGTTACATCCTAGTGGTGGCAATGGATAATAAATCAGCGAGCAAAAGAACAGTTGACGTCACAGAGCTAAATGCTAGGAAGAGGGTGAAATGGAGGAGAGGCACAGGCTAGAGACATAAACGTGGACGTCACGAGCATAGGGATGAGATTTAAAACCAGGGAGCTGTATGGGCGTGTGGCCAGAGTGGAGGGCTGCATCTGGGACTTGGGGCACTCTAACACGACGAGGTCGATGGGAGGATAAGAGACCAGAAACAGACTGAGGGGTGGGGAGTGGGTGGGATGTCCACCACCTTCTGCCATCTTGTCCACATTGTAGTCAGGAACTTCTTCCTCACAAGCGTTGGTATCATAAGTGTAGTTCTTTTTCTGGCCCATTGGCTATCAGCTTTTTGGAATTTGCATTTAAATCAAGAAAACTGCTGTAGGTCATTTGTACTCAGAGTAAGGTAAGCAAGGGATGAGGATTCACACTGAGAACTTAGTTTGGAGAGGGTATTTATATAATAAAACTATTTGGTGTTTTCACAAGTGGATGTATGACCTTTACTTTTTTTTCTTTTGAGGTCTTCAGCCACCTGAAGAGACTGGGCTATGTGGTTCGACGATTCCAACCGAGGTAAATCTTTATTCCATTTCCCTCCAGTTTGTTCTAGTCCTGGGCCCTAGGTGATGAGCCCCAAAGCAGAAAGTGGCTTCTGCTTACTTGGGAGTCCTTGGCTGGAACTGCACTCTCTGGGGGCCTCTGCTGGAAACGATCTATTGAGAGGCATATTTGGACAATCTGGGTCATTTCGACTTATCCTGGGTTATCAGATTGAGCCCTGTCTTCAGCCTGTTCACCCCACAGATAACAGCTGAGCACTTACAGCTCACTGTGAGCATGAAGATGCAGTGTCAGTACAGGGCCTGGCACTTAATAGATGTGCAGGCAGATTTGTTGAGTGCAGGCATGAATGAGCAAGTGAGGAATTAATAGTTGAGTAAGGTTTCACATTCCTTTTGCTGTGTCCTTTCCTTCTGGGGCCTCTGAAGTTCATCACTTTAGTGATTCAGCATTGTTAGGAGCCATAGAGACCTTCAGGCTTGGAGTGGAAACTAGTATAGTCTTTGTGGTTTCCCAGTATATCACGAAAGCTCTAGAACAGAGCTTTAACTTCTGAAAGTGGAATATAACCTAAGGGAATAGTCAGATATATGTGTAAGTTAACTTGTGAGATGTTCACTCATTCATTCATTCATTCATTCAGCAGTATTTGTTGACCACTTACTGGGTGCCAGGCCCTGTGCTCGTTGCTAAGGAATGGCAGAGAGCAAAATCACTGCCCCCCACAACTTGCATCTGGTGGAGAGCTTACTCAAAACATCATCACTTTGCAAAATCAGTGAGCTTGGAAGCTCCTATGAGTCCAACAGAGAGGGCATTGTCACACAAATTAGTTTATCCCTTAGAGTAGCACTATCCAAAGGACTTTCTGTGGTGATAAAGTGTTGTGTTCATACTGTCCAATATATGTGGCTTGTGCAACTGAATATTTTATTTAATTTTAATGGATTTAAATTTAACTTCAGCAGTTTCTTATGTGTAGGCTACTGTATTGGACGGTGCAGCCTTAGAGCCATAGAAAAAATCATGACAGGGAAGAATGCAGCAGAGCCATGCCCATAATATATTATTGACTGAAACAAAAAGATTACAAAGCAGTATGTCATTTTTGTTAGAAAAAAACGAATATGTGTTTATAAGAAACAAAAATGTTAGTGGTATTTTTATTTTTGTTTTCTAGTCTTTGATTTTACTCACCAGTGATTAATTATTGCTGGCTCTGCAGGAGCCCTGGTTCCAGGGAGCTTCTGTTCAAAGGTGCTGCTGGTGAGACCCAGAGGCCTGGGCAGAGATGCAGGGGCCACCCCGATGTAGCCTGCAGGCAGGTCTGCCTGGGGCCTTAGCCCTTGGGTGTGGCTCTGACCCTGGCCCACTGACTTGTGCACTGGGCCAGTCCCTAACAAACTCCCCCAGGAGCACCATGCTGAGAACATGGATCTGTTGCTCGCCCCATTCTCACCCCACAGCTCCGTCCTATCCCCTTATGAGAGGCAGCTGAACTTGAACAGCAGTGCCCAGTGCTTGGGGGATCAGAATGGCAAGAGGAAGAAGAGGAGCTCCCACTCTCGGTAGTGCCCCTGACACGGCCATGCCCAGGGAGTTCTGGAGGGCAGACCTGCTGCGGGGGTGCTGGTGTCTGAGACCTTGGAGAATACATGGGCTTATGAGCTGGGCGGCTCCCGTTCAGGCTCGGTGGGGCAGTAGAGCATGCGTAGGACGGGCGCACCTCAGCGATTCAGAGCAGATGTGCTGCATTTCCTCCCCGTCCCTCAGGTCCATTAATAAGAAGCCCAGGGCCCTGGAGAACCCCCTGCAGGGGGTGGATGGGACACCCAAGAGCCTGGCAACCTCCATCCCACCTCCCTGCGACCAGAACAAGCGATGTGCAGAGGAGAAACCCCAGGAGTCAAGCCCCGTAAAGGGCCCAGCGGGCCCCTTTCAGCTTCTGGGGTCCTTGGAGCCCTGGCCTGGCCTGGCCAGGGATGGGGTGGGATGCAGCCAGGAGAATGGCAAAGTAGAGAATGGGGTTAAGGGGGCTCATAAGCCACGCTGGAACTTTGAGCAGATCTCCTTCCCCAATATGGCTTCAGATAGCCGCCACACCCTCCTGCTTGCCCCAGCCCCAGAGCTGCTCCCGGCCAACGTCCCTGGACGGGAGACAGATGCTGAGTCCTGGTGCCAGAAATTGAACCAACGGAAGGAAAAGCTCTCCAGACGGGAGCAGGAGCAGCAGGCAGAGGCCCAGCACTTCCAGGAGGATGTAAACGTGGATCCTGAGGTGCAGCGCTGCTCCAGCTGGCAGGAATACAAGCAGCTGCTGCAGAGGCGGCGCCTGCAGAAGACCCAGACCCGCCCCCCGCACCTGTGGGACCAGCCTGTCACTCCGTTGCTGAGTCCTGGCCATGCAGACTCCCCAGGTACCCCCTCACCCTGCCATAGCCCCACAGGCTAAGGACTCAAGACTTTGAAAGGGGCACAGCTTAACCATGACATCAAAGCTTAAGAAAGATGGTGAGAAGAGCTGTCCCGTGGAGCGGAACCCACAAGGACAGTCTCTTCTCCCAGGAAGCAGCAAAAGGACCCATGCGGGAAAGTTTAGAGGGGGCGAGTCAGTGCCCGAGGAGAGAATGAGGACAATGAGCATGTCCTTAACATCACACACAAGATGCCTGTGGGTGGCTCTGCCACCACCTTGCTGTGGTCCCTGTTAGAGGGACCAAGGAGATGATACGTTGGCCAGATAAAAGGCTTACTGTATACCCTGCATGTTAAGGACACAGAACTAACAAGGCAAGAACGGTATTAATGGATTCAAAACTGCTTACAACCCTTAATGGGAATAAGGTGGATTGTAAGTTAACTAGATCAGGGTTGCCAGGTCAGTTTTATTTCAGATAAACAACATGGGACATACCTATACTAAAAAATCTGCTAAATCTGGGAACTCTAAACTAGATGGCAGATTGAGAAATGTCAAGGGAGTCTAGATGACTGACTCCCCTCCCCAGCACCTCATCTCCACTGTCCTTATAGCCACAGTCCTTCAGCATATCTCTGTGCTGCAGACGACACACCTTGCTGATGGAAGCGCCCGGTGAGTTTCCAGGTAGTGCCCATCTCCACAGTACTTTGGCTGCCAGCAGGAGCTGGCAGCTGGAATCTGACTCCTGAAGTTGGGTATGAGCTGGGGGATTATTCCAGGGACCCCTATCCTGGCTAATATTCATGTGTGTCTAGGGGACAGGGAGGTGTAAGAGGTGGATTTATCCCCGGGTTAGGCAGCTGAGCTTCCCCTTACCCCTCAAGTGGCACCTCACAGCAGGACCTCAGTTACCCTGGACAGGCTGCTTCCTGGAACTGGAGAAGGGAAAGGGTGGCATGGAAAGAAAAGAGGAGAGTCCCAAAGGTTTCCTAAGGTTTCTCACTCTGTCCTCAGGCTGCTGGAGAAGTCTGGGGACTTGGAAATCAGCTTTGATGTTTACCAGGCCGATGCTGTGGCCACATTCCGAAAGAATAACCCTGGGAAGCCATATGCCCGGATGTGCATTAGTGGGTATGAGACCAGCAAGTGCTGCCCCCAGGCTGCTGCCAGTTCTCATGTAAACCGAGTGGCCCTCCTCTCCACACCGCTGAGCAATCCCTGAGAGGAGCCAGAGGTCCAGAGAGATGATGTGACCCACACGAGGCCACACAGCCAGTTAGTGCTATGGGAACGAACCCCCAGCTTCCCAGTCCTCAGCCCTCATTCATGGCATTTTCGGGTAGTCTCTCCTGTCCCAGGCTCAGGTGAGAACCTCGCTCTTCCCAACCCCTTACCCAGCCAGGGCTCTGGTCTCTCTTGAACTTACCAGAGCTGTGCAGATTGCAGACAGGAGAGCCCAGAGGCCAGACTTCTTACACCCCCAACTCCTGTCTTAGGCTTCCTTCCCTGGGAGCCACAGAGGGCTGCAGTCAAAGCCTGTGGGTGGGCTATGTCCAGGTCTCACAGTCTAAGTTATATCTCTGCAGATTTGATGAGCCGGTCCCAGACCTCCGCTCCCTCAAACGGTTGTCCTACCAGAGTGGGGATGTTCCTCTGATCTTTGCCCTGGTGGATCACGGAGACATCTCGTTCTACAGCTTCAGGGACTTCACACTGCCCAGAGATCTGGAACACTGACCATGCAGCTATGGCAGGGTCTGCGGCCTGCTGGGGGTGCTGGGGAACCTGGACTGTCTACTCTCAGGGACCATCTCAGCTGCCTCCTACACCTTGTAGCTGCAATAGTCTGGGCCTTGGCCCTGGATGTCTGATGCTTGCAGAAGAGTGAAGCTGAGTCCCCTCTACTTGGCTGCTGCAATGCTTCCAAGCCGCAGGCCTGAGATTGCTGCCTTGCAGTGATCCCCTCAGAACTCAGCGCTAGCTTTTAGAGACCCAGTGAGGTGGGGCAGAAGGGAGGACTCTGTGCCTTTAAAAGAGAGGGTTCCTGCTTCATGCGATAAAGCCAAAGCCATTAAAAAATAGATCCCTTTTCTGCTGTGGCTGAATATACTAAACGAGTCCCAGTACTGGGGCGCAGACCACCTCCCCCAACCTGTTGTCCTTGGAACTGGCCCCCAGGCTTTCGCCCCTGCTTTGCCCACCCACAAAGTGCTGCTTTCTCTGGTGCGGAAGCTAAGAGAAGCCCGGTGGAGTGCAGGATCTTGACTCTGCACCTTTTCCCGGGCCTGCGCCAGAAGGGATGAGAAGTCACGGACCTCTGGTCAGCTCGGCTTTCTGAAAGATAGTCGGAGGAGGGAGGCAGCGTTCCATCGGTCTTTCTCTGAATGCGGCCGGTCGGGGTTGAAGGGCGGCGGAGAGGCGCCATGTCGTGTGGCTTGAACCCTAGTCGCTGCGAGCTGTGCGGTGGAGCGCGCCATTCTCGCCCCGGGCCTCAGGCCTGGCCTCCGCGTCCCTTCCGCTCCCGCCTCTGGTCGCTCCAAACCCCTCCCTCGTCGTGCTAAAAACTCCGGCTGCTGTTCTTCGAGGCCCCGGGCGTCTGCCAGCCTCTATAGGGCCTCGGAGGAGGGTGGGGTCCAGGCTTAGGGTCCGCCCCGAGGGGAAGCGCGTCGCGGCGATGCCCCCGTCCCCACGCCACCTGGCTCCTGGGTCCCGAAACCTGGCCCTGTGTAGGCTGGTCACCCTCTCTGGGTTGGGCGCTCTCAGGAAGAGCCGGCCTGGCTACGCCCCTCCCTCAGCAGCTCCAGGCAGGGTTTGTGGGAAGGACGAATCGTCTGTGCTGTCGGGCCTGGGAGGTGGCCCAGAGCCGTCGCGCGTTCCGGGAACTATTTCTTCCTCCGGGAGGCGGCGGGACACAGGGCGCGGCGCACCGTTCTGCGACCAGGTGCGCGCAGGTGAGGCCGGGGGCGGGGCGGCAGCGCCTCG